ACACATTCAAAGCTAGCAGAAGGCAAGAAATAACTAAGATCAGAGCAGAACTGAAGGAGATAGAGACACAAAAGACTCTCCAAAAAAATCAATGAATCCAGGAGTTGGTTTTTTGAAAAGATCAACAAAATTGACAGACCACTAGCAAGACTAATAAAGAAGAAAAGAGAGAAGAATCAAATCGACGCAATTAAAAATGATAAAGGGGATATCACCACCGACCCCACAGAAATACAAAGTACCATCAGAGAATACTATAAACACCTCTATGCAAATAAACTGGAAAATCTAGAAGAAATGGATAATTTCCTGGACACTAACACTCTTCCAAGACTAAACCAGGAAGAAGTTGAATCCCCGAATAGACCAATAGCAGGCTCTGAAATTGAGGCAATAATTAATAGCCTACCAACCAAAAAAAGTCCAGGACCAGATGGATTCACAGCTGAATTCTACCAGAGGTATAAGGAGGAGTTGGTACCATTCCTTCTGAAACTATTCCAATCAATAGAAAAAGAGGGAATCCTCCCTAACTCATTTGATGAGGCCAACATCATCCTGATACCAAAGCCTGGCAGAGACACAACAAAAAAAGAGAATTTTAGACCAATATCCCTGATGAACATCGATGCAAAAATCCTCAATAAAATACTGGCAAACCGGATTCAGCAACACATCAAAAAGCTTATCCACCATGATCAAGTGGGCTTCATCCCTGGGATGCAAGGCTGGTTCAACATTCGCAAATCAATAAACATAATCCAGCATATAAACAGAACCAAAGACAAGAACCACATGATTATCTCAATAGATGCAGAAAAGGCTTTTGACAAAATTCAACAGCCCTTCATGCTAAAAACGCTCAATAAATTCGGTATTGATGGAACGTACCTCAAAATAATAAGAGCTATTTATGTCAAACCCACAGCCAATATCATACTGAATGGGCAAAAACTTCCCTTTGAAAACTGGCACAAGACAGGGATGCCCTCTCTCACCACTCCTATTCAACATAGTGTTGGAAGTTCTGGCTAGGGCAATCAGGCAAGAGAAAGAAAACAAGGGTATTCAGTTAGGAAAAGAAGAAGTCAAATTGTCCCTGTTTGCAGATGACATGATTGTATATTTAGAAAACCCCATTGTCTCAGCCCAAAATCTCCTTAAGCTGATAAGCAACTTCAGCAAAGTCTCAGGATACAAAATTAATGTGCACAAATCACAAGCATTCTTATACACCAGTAACAGACAAACAGAGAGCCAAATCATGAATGAACTTCCATTCACAATTGCTTCAAAGAGAATCAAATACCTAGGAATCCAACTTACAAGGGATGTAAAGGACCTCTTCAAGGAGAACTACAAACCACTGCTCAGTGAAATCAAAGAGGACACAAAAAATGGAAGAACATACCATGCTCATGGATAGGAAGAATCAATATCGTGAAAATGGCCATACTGCCCAAGGTAATTTATAGATTCAATGCCATCCCCATCAAGCTACCAATGAGTTTCTTCACAGAATTGGAAAAAACTGCTTTAAAGTTCATATGGAACCAAAAAAGAGCCCGCATCTCCAAGACAATCCTAAGTCAAAAGGACAAAGCTGGAGGCATCACGCTACCTGACTTCAAACTATACTACAAGGCTACAGTAACCAAAACAGCATGGTACTGGTACCAAAACAGAGATATAGACCAATGGAACAGAACAGAGTCCTCAGAAATAATACCACACATCTACAGCCATCTGATCTTTGACAAACCTGAGAGAAACAAGAAATGGGGAAAGGATTCCCTATTTAATAAATGGTGCTGGGAAAATTGGCTAGCCATAAGTAGAAAGGTGAAACTGGATCCTTTCCTTACTCCTTATACGAAAATTAATTCAAGATGGATTAGAGACTTAAATGTTAGACCTAATACCATAAAAATCCTAGAGGAAAACCTAGGTAGTACCATTCAGGACATAGGCATGGGCAAAGACTTCATGTCTAAAACACCAAAAGCAACGGCAGCAAAAGCCAAAATTGACAAATGGGATCTCATTAAACTAAAGAGCTTCTGCACAGCAAAAGAAACTACCATCAGAGTGAACAGGCAACCTACAGAATGGGAGAAAATTTTTGCAATCTACTCATCTGACAAAGGACTAATATCCAGAACCTACAAAGAACTCAAACAAATTACAAGAAAAAAACAAACACCCATCAAAAAGTGGGCAAAGGATATGAACAGACATTTCTCAAAAGAAGACATTCATACAGCCAACAGACACATGAAAAAATGCTCATCATCACTGGCCATCAGAGAAATGCAAATCAAAACCACAATGAGATACCATCTCACACCAGTTAGAATGGCGATCATTAAAAAGTCAGGAAACAACAGGTGCTGGAGAGGATGTGGAGAAATAGGAACACTTTTACACTGTTGGTGGGATTGTAAACTAGTTCAACCATTATGGAAAACAGTATGGCGATTCCTCAAGGATCTAGAACTAGATGTACCATATGACCCAGCCATCCCATTACTGGGTATATACCCAAAGGATTATAAATTATGCTGCTACAAAGACACATGCACATGTATGTTTATTGCAGCACTATTCACAATAGCAAAGACTTGGAATCAACCCAAATGTCCATCAGTGACAGATTGGATTAAGAAAATGTGGCACATATACACCATGGAATACTATGCAGCCATCAAAAAGGATGAGTTTGTGTCCTTTGTAGGAACATGGATGCAGCTGGAAACCATCATTCTTAGCAAACTATCACAAGAACAGAAAACCAAACACCGCATGTTCTCACTCATAGGTGGGAACTGAACAATGAGATCACTTGGACTCAGGAAGGGGAACATCACACACCGGGGCCTATCATGGGGAGGGGGGCGGGGGGAGGGATTGCACTGGGAGTTATACTTGATGTAAATGACGAGTTGATGGGTGCAGCACACCAACATGGCACAAGTATACATATGTAACAAACCTGCACGTTATGCACATGTACCCTACAACTTAAAGTATAATAATAATAAATAAATTTAAAAAAAATAAAAATAATAAAAATAAAATTATTTTCAAAATCATGTCATAAACACAAACATTACATTTTGTCAATTGAAAATAACTCCAGAGAAATTTGAAGACACACAACTACATATGTGCATAAAACTCAACTTTAGTTAAAGGTTTGATCAACATTCTTACTTGCTAATTAGCTATTTTATGACAACTGTGTTTGGTGCTGAAACTATCCTTCTTTCATAATAGTTATCTGTCATATGTTATTCTAACTTAACAAATTCTGGACCTGAAAAACATACTCTTCTATCAGTTCTGTCAGCTCAATTTATTTCAATTGAAAAAAAAAATCAATTAACTTACCAAATAGATCAAAGTAATGATATGGTATTATGTAAATTTAACTAGAATTTTTAAAAATTGAAAGCAGTGTTAGTAGTTGAGATAAAATTTACATGTTCAAAACTAATTAGTGTCACGTGAATCAAACAGCATGAAAATGCCAACTTACGTATAGAAAACTGTATTTTTAACCCTTCCAAGACTGTAAATACTACCTACAATTTTATGACTCATATAAAAAATTAACAATATCATTTCAATCATTTTGTTACAAAGAGTTTTATCATTACTAAAATAAAACTAATACTTGCTATGAATTCAAAACTGATGATTAGAATAATAATATATTTTGGGCGGAATGTGAGTAATAAAATTATCTAATTTAACTTTTGTTATATGCATATTTTCTCTTTCAAAAAATTCACATTTTGAAATTACAGGAAATTTAAAACAGATTTCTTTTGAGACAATCATACTCCAAAAACTTATCCTGTATTTTATGCCTTAAAAATATTTTATGTGAAAATGTTAAAGTCTCATCCATTCATTTTGTTGTTGTTGTTCAAAGTAAACTATTTTAGAATGCATGAAAACACTTTTTTTCAAGATATTTATACTCATCTGTTTAATTTAATATAATATTGCTGCCCCCTAGAGGAAAAATTGGTTTAGGTCATTTATTGGTTTCAATATTCCCCATAAGAGATTAATAATAAATTTCCAAAGACATAGAAAATACATAGACTCAATATGCAGAAAATATTCAAGAAGTATTATATGGCATTTTTGTCATTATTCTTTTGGTTGCACCACCCACAATTTTCAGTGTCTATCTTTACTGGTAAACAAATAGAACTTATTTAATATTAGGCTCCTATTAATTTTATTGGACTTGAAAAAAATAAAATATTTAAAAAATCTAGTTGAGTTTCCTCTATTTGTATGCCCATTCCCAGGACAGAAAATTCTGTTATGAAAATTAGTAGCTAAGTAGTTAAAGAAAAAATTTATAATTTGAAGTCAAAAGAATTGCCTCATTCTATTTAAAACATAGCATTATTTACATTATTTCAGCATTATTAAAACCCAAGGATGGTATGGTAAGTTAAAAAAAAAAAAGCACCATGAAGTATATTTTTCATAACATCAAACACATAAATTTTCATAATTAGGGAATGGTTTAATATAGTGTTATATACATATGTGTGTGTGTGTGTGTATCTATATATATATGAATGTGAATATGCTGTTGCTTTTAAAGAGTTGTTTTATGTGTAAAAAGTGACACAAGTGTGGGTTAAGGAGAGAAATTCAAAGAACTGTCCACTAGCTGAGTTAAAAGAAGAGGTCTATTGGGGACACATCCACTTGAATGAAGTTGCCTTACAACTACTACTCAATTCCCTCCCAGTTCGGTTGGTATGATTTAAGCAATACCTCTCTAACAAGAGTCTAGAAGTTGTGTCTCATTTGGTGAATTTATTAACTTTATCTACAATTTTGGTAACTTTCTTATCAGTGTGTTTTATTGCACTTTTCCTTAAAATCAGGATATATTAAAAAGGAAATAAAGAACATTATTATAGTGTTGATGGAGATTACATGTTATATCTTTTATTTTTACCTTATAGATACTGAGTTGCCACCACTGAAACTTATGCATTCATTTTGTGCATTCAAGCCAGATGATGGCCCATGTAAAGCAATCATGAAGAGATTTTTCTTCAATATTTTCACTCGACAGTGTGAAGAATTTATATATGGGGGATGTGGAGGAAATCAGAATCGATTTGAAAGTATGGAAGAGTGCAAAAAAGTGTGTACAAGAGGTAGGTTTCTGGGAACCCTTATTACTCAAGACCCTTTAGGGCTATTGAGTCTAATTATGGATTTGATAATTTAGGGAGAAGAGTAATTTCATGCCATTTTAATATTTCCAAGGAATCTTTTAGTTCCACATTTTTAGACTTTCAGGGAAGTCTAAAAACATTTAAGGAAAATGATCATTCTGAATTGTTCCGTGAAATACCCATATTTATAGAACCAGAAACTCTCCATATGCCTCAGAGACATTTTAAAGCAAATTATCAAATTTTAGATAAGGTCAGCTTGCACATTCAACTATCATTTTTCATTTTTTCATATCAGTGAATTACTAAATATATGAGGCCTCATTTATTGTCTTATACTCTTCTCCATAATAAAGACAGAAGAAAAAATCCTCAACTCACGTTCACAGAATTGTGACGTATTTTTGAAATAAAGTGGGTGTAATTCAGTCTCCCAGACTTGTAATCTCAGTTGGCAGAAGAAAAACTCTTAGTCACACTGACTTAGTCTTTCCTTTGTCAACACGATAGTCTCATCTCTATCTTCTCTCAAGATCATGAATCTGGAAACTGATGCTCTATGGCTCTTATTAGAAAATTCTAAGCTGCATAAAATAGTAGAACTATATATGAAATTTAAGGTTTTTTTTATTATTGGAACCTTGAAATACTACAGGAAATAAAAATAGAATACCATAGAAAAGAAAAATCATCCCTGATGACCCTTGTGGGCTTTACTAAACCCAATGTTTTATATTAATATTACTAAGTTACAAATTTCAAAAGGATATCATATTATATTAAACTTTTATTCTACATTAATCCTACTAAAATTTAACTTTTTTTGCAAATTTTGCTAATTACCTTATTGTATGTGATTTTGTATCGTCTCACTAAGATAAATTATAAATAATTACTGACAAAAATTTTGAATTTTTTTAAAATCTCAGGTTATTCTTCCAAATTGTAAGTTACTCAAGGGATAGAATAAGCTGAGTTGCTTTTATTTCCCTAGTTTCTAGCACAATATTCTACCATAGCATGTTTGGAGAGCTGGATGGACACATTTGAGGTGATACAGAAATGATATTTCTGGTTAGTAACACTAGATGTCTTGTTTTTTGCAAATCAGGCAGCTCTGCATTCACACTCTGTTACTGCTTTCTAAATACCTTTTACTAAACAGCCTTGGCATCATGGTGCTCTTGGCCTGTGCGAAAACCTCAATGTGGTGAAAAGAGTGAACTTCTCTCCTCTGTGACTCTGTAAGATGTTTTGTTGTATGCTCCAGAGCTAAAGGAAGAGAATAGACATGAATATATTTCCTTAACCTCACAGCACTGATTTGTGTTTCCTCTCCATAGACACCTTAGGAATGTTACTAACACAGTTTAGGCAGCTCAGTGGTCCTCAGTGGTGCCTTTGGTTTTTGTGATTGCTTGGTCTTTTTCCATTCATCACAGATTTCTATACCCCATTTTCTTCCATACATATTGGGCCAAGTATCCTTTTGTGTTGAGTTGATAATCATTCTTAGTTGTCAGTACCTTGGCTAGAAGCCTGGTTGCCTCATTCTTTTTAATCCCCACTCTTCCATTTAGCAGGCGATTTATTTTCATTAACTGGCCTCTTCTTTGAAATATATACCTGTTCTTTTTATATATGTGTATAGTTCAACTCTTATGGTTTATCACTGTGCAAAAGTTACTCTTTTCTTTAAAGGTTAATCAATGTAATCATTTTGCTCACCAGTGATAGCCTTGCTTATCATCATTTAAAATATAATTTCTGGCTAGCATGTAAATGTAACTCTCTTACCTCCATCTCCGCATTATCTATCAAAAGTCACTTGAGGCTGGGTGCAGTGGCTCACACCTGTAATCCAAGCACTCTGGGAGGCCGAGGAGGGTGGATTACCTAAGGTCAGGAGTTTTAGACCAGCCTGATCAATATGGTGAAACTCCATCTCTACTAAAAATACAAACATTGGCTGGGCATGGTTGCATGTGCCTGTAGTCCCAGCTACTCAGGAGGCTGACACAGGAGAATTGTTTGAAACCAGGAGGTGGATGCTGCAGTGAGCTGAGATTGCACCACTGCACTCCAGCTGTGCAACAAAGAAAGACTCCATTAAAAAAAAATCACTTGCCATTATAGTATGAATGTCTGAGTGTTTTATACAGCAGACTACTGATAAGGATATAGCTGGTATATAGAAAAAATATGGCTAGACTTTTAAAAATGCACCTAGGAAGAGAATTTAATCTGCAGCCATGATGGACAAATAGAACAAGACTTTCTCTGCCAACATAAAGAACTATAAAACTGGGCAAAATGTAAAAAACTACTGTTTGCAAACATTGAACAAAAGGCAGTGTAGGATTGTGACCTCTGGGAGAAGGTAAATACATATGATGAGCCCTGCAATCTCCCCTGCTTCCGGTATGAAGGCATTCAAAACCGCCATTATAGGAAGGAAACCCAAGTACAGCATGGTGGTCTCTCTGAAGAGAGGAGATGGCTATTAGAGATTAGAAAGTGGAAGTGGTTGTGGTTTTCTAACAATGTGTGTTATATGGTTTCGCTCTGTATCCCTACCCAAATATCATCTTGTAGCTCCCATAATTCCCATGTGTTGTGAGAGAGACTGCTGGGAAACGATTGAATCATGGGGGACAGGGCGGGGGGCAGGTGGTCTTTCCCATGCTATTCTCGTGGTAGTGAATGGGCCTCACATGATCTTATGGTTTTAACAAACAGGAGTCTCTGCATAAGCTCTCTCTTTGTCTGCTGCTATCCATGTAAAATGTGACTTGCTCACACTAAGTTGGTACCAGTAGAACGGGGTGTTGCTGAAAAGATACCTGAAAATGTGGAAGTGACTTTGGAACTGGGTAACAGGCAGAGTTTGGAACAGTTTGCAGGGCTCAGAAGAAGACAGGAAAATGTGGGAAAGATCCGAACTTCCAAGAGACTTATTGAAAGGCTTTGACAAAAGTGCTGAGAGTGATATGAATGATAAGGTTCAGCCTGAGGTGGTCTCAGATAGAGATGAGGAACTTGTTGGGAACTGGAGCAAAGCTGACTCTCACATTTTAGCAAAGAGACTGGCAGCATTTTGCCCCTGCCCTAGAGATTTGTGGAACGTTGAACTTGAAGAAATGATATAGAGTATTTGACAGAAGAAATTTCTAAGCACCAAAACATTCAAGAGGGGACTTGGGTGCTGTTAAAGGCATTCAGTTTCAAAAGGGAAACAGAAAATAAAATTGTGGGAAATTTGCAGCTTGACAATGCAAGTGAAAAGGAAATTACTTTCTCGAAATGTCCCTGTCTGACAGCTTTGAAGAGAGTAGTGGTTCTCCCAGCACACAGTTTGAGATCTGAGAACGGACAGACTGCCTCCTCAAGTGGGTCCCTGACCGATGAGTAGCCTAATTGGGAGGCACCCCCCAGTAGGGGCAGACTCACACCTCACAAGGCCAGGTACCTCTCTGAGATGAAGCTTCCAGAGGAATGATCAGGCGGCAAATTTACTCTTTAGCAATATTCGCTGTTCTGCAGCCTCTGCTGCTGATACCCAGGCAAACAAGGTCTGGAGTGGACCTCCAGCAAACTCCAACAGACCTGCAGCTGAGGGTCCTGACTGTTAGAAGGAAAAATAAAAAACAGAAAGGACATCCACACCAAAACCCCATCTGTAGGTCACCAACATCAAAGACCAAAGGTAGATAAAACCACAAACATGGGGAAAAAAGCAGAGCAGAAAAGCTGAAAATTCTAAAAACAGGAGCGCCTCTCCCCCTTCAAAGGAATGCAGTTCCTTGCAAGCAATGGAAAAAAGCTGGATGGAGTATGACTTTGACGAGTTAAGAGAAGAAGGCTTCAGATGATCAAACATCTCCGAGCTAAAGAAGGAAGTTTGAACCCATCGCAAAGAAGCTAAAAACCTTGAAAAAAGATTACACGAATGGCTCGCTAGAATAACCATTGTAGAGAAGTCCTTAAACGACCTGATGGAGCTGAAAACCATGGCACGAGAACTACGTGACAAATGCACAAGCTTCAGTAACCGATTCGATCATCTGGAAGAAAGGGTATCAGTGATTGAAGATCAACTGAATGAAATGAAGCGAGAAGAGAAGTTTAGAGAAAAAAGAGTAAAAAGAAACAAAGAAAGCCTCCAAGAGATATGGGACTATGTGAAAAGACCAACTCTATGTCTGATTGCTGTACCTGAAAGTGACTGGGAGAATGGAACCAAGTTGGAAAACACTCTGCAGGATATTATCCAGGAGAACTTCCCCAACCTAGCAGGGAGGCCAACATTCCAATTCAGGAAATACAGAGAACACCACAAAGATACTCCTTCAGAAGAGCAACTCCAACACACATAATTGTCAGATTCACCAAAGTTGAAATGAAGGAAAAAATGTTAAGGGCAGCCAGAGAGAAAGGTTGGGTTACCCACAAAGGGAAGCCCAACAGACTAATAGCGAATCTCTCAGCAGAAACTCTACAAGCCAGAAAAGAGCAGGGGCAATATTCAACATTCTTAAAGAAAAGAATTTTCAACCCAGAATTTCATATCCAGCCAAACAAAGATTCATAAGTGAAGGAGAAATAAAATCCTTTGCAGACAAGCAAATGCTGGGAGATTTTGTCACCACCAGGCCTGCCCTACAAGAGCTCCTGAAGGAAGCACTAAACATGGAAAGGAACAACTGGTACCAGCCACTGCAAAAACATGCTAAATTGTAAAGACCATTGATGCTAGGAAGAAACTGCATGAACTAATGAGCAAAATAACCAGCTAACATCATAATGACAGGATCAAATTCACACATAACAATATTAACCTTAAATGTAAATGGTCTAAATGCTCCAACTAAAAGACACAGACTGGCAAATTGGATAGAGTCAAGACCCATCAGTGTGCTGTATTCAGGAGACCCATCACACATACAGAGACACACATAGGCTCAAAATAAAGGGATGGA